ACAACCAACGCAAAACAAACACATGCGGTGTATGCGACAGCTGTAAAATATGCAATACAGCCGCAATGTTCGTATGTGTTGTTCAGGTTTGTTATGGGCCATAAATTTATAGCCAGTTAAGAGGGTACTGTAACATTTGTGAAATCCCATAGTGGAAACATTTTATGTCAGTCCCGTGGTTCAGAGCCTTAAGGCCGGCGCACAATGCATACGTTTTCGGGTTTTTTGACAGATAATGCATGGGCTAACTGTCAAAAAACCTGAAAACGTATCTATTGTGCGCCGGCCTTAAGCACATGGAACCATTATAGTCGCTATATTCATAGTCTGGCGGATAGAATTTCGATCTTTCATAAAGCGGAACCAATTCAATATATATTAGACCAACAATTGAAAAGGTACTATGAACTTTTATTATTCTTTCCTCGCCAATCGAACGCAAATTACCGGCATCATCGGATAGGGGAAACTTTCACCAACCCAAAGATGGTGTTAGCATAGAGGTAACTCTAAGACTAGAAGGTCCCGCAGAAACGTGCTCAACTTTTTGGCACAGCTCTGGTACTCTCTTTGGTCTCAAGCTAATCGATTCACCCCTCGAAACATAGGAAAAACCAATAACCCCTCATTTTATCTGTCAAACTTTCATAGCGAATCAAAACAAACATTGCGTAGTACTAGAATTTCGACTAGAATAGGGTACGTTAATCGTTTGCTTGGGACCAATAGGCTACTAAAGTGGTGAGCCAATTTAAAATCGTTAGTTTCGTATTGATTGTTGGTGTTAGTTTGCGTAGGCGAGCCTTGAGTCACGAGAAAGGGGTTGCCGAAGTTTTGTTTGCAATAGCTGATGTGCTCTTTTCTGTTCGTGATTTGCTCGATTGGTTCCGCTATTTGACAGCACAATTGGTTCCCGAGATTCTATTCGCCAGACTATGAATATAGCGACTATAGGAACGATGCGAAATGGATCCCAGAATCAAAACAAAGCAGCAAATAGGGTTGCCAAAAACTCGCATTTATGGTGGTGATAGAATTAATCGAAGTTCAAATTAAAAATGAACCCCGTGAATCTGCACGAAGCATCGTTCAGATAAACGGGGGTCAAAGGTATTTACATACATCTTTTTGAAGTTGTATCGTCTCTCTCTATCTAGCACACATGGATGAAAGTACCGTTTGTTTTCCCACTAATCTGTTTCCCTCTTGCTCGCACTCGTTCGATTTAAATCTTTTAGAGCAACCGTAACGGTACGCTGCTAAACTCATTTTAGCAGCCCTCATCATAGCGCAGCTACCGTATCGGGAGTTGCCATACGAGTAACTAAAATAGCAGTCGGCTTCTCGGTGAGAAGCGCGTTACCAAATTTAGCAGCGCGGGAGAAAGGTTGCTATTCGTAGAAATGTCAAAATGCTCACTACCGGTACGGACTACACACAAAGAAAAATCGTTGCTAAAATTAAAAAAAACCATTGGTAGAAATAAAAGTTTGCATTGGTTCTTTTTGGTAGAAAGCGGTTAGTTTTCAAAATGAAAGTCGATACATTATCAAATCAAAAGTTTCCCGATCACTACTTTTAAAAGTTTCAACTTTCAAACTGAATTGTACTAATGTCAAATGAAAAGCATGACAGTGTTAAAATTAAAACCGAATTATTTTCAACCTTTTAAAATTAAATGCTGCATTATTATTGTTAAAAATAAACGTTTTCAGTTATAAAAAAACAGTGTTTTCAATTTAATAACATCGTTTTTCATTTCAAAATCTATTAAAATTTGATTGGTGAAGAAGTAAAAATTTAAAATTTTAATAAAAAATGTATTTACTCGATATAACAATAAAAATAAATTCATTAGGTACACTGATAGGCAAAATAAAGTGCCCACCCCATCATTTTTGAAATTTCTCTCATTTATTTGGTTCAAATTCAAATAAACACACCGTAGTCTGTTTCGATGTCTTACCTTTATTATTCTTTTAAAGTTACACCTATGGAATACTGAAAATATAAAGTTTTACTTGAAGTAAAAGAAAATCAATTTGGATTGAAAAAGAAAACAGTGACAAAAAAAAGTGCCCACTTCAAAAATCGGTATGTTTTCGATAAGTTTCCATCGGAAAACCCCTCGATTGTTTTTGTTTTGAAAGTTTGACATGTATTGAAGCAAACGGGTGGAACTGGTGCATTTGTACACGTGATCGCATTTGAATCAGTTGAAAAAAATGGAGGACGTAGTGATTTCGAAAGCAATTCCCGTGTGTATCCGAAAATTGGTTGTTCGTGATGTGCAAAACGGTGAATCGCACCGGTCTGTCGCTAGGAAGTACAATATCAGCAAAACAGCGGTCGGGAAAATTCTGCAGAAAATGAAATCGTTCGGATCAGTGGTGGATCGCCCTGGCAGAGGCAGGATGCGCAAAACGGATGCGAGAACGGACACCAAGATCATGCGTGAAGTGAAGAAGAACCCGAAGGTAACTGTCCGCGAGATCCAGGAGGCTCTTCAGCTAACAGTTTCCAGTCGAACTGTTCGTCGCCGTCTCGTAGCACAGGGGTTGAACAGCAAAGTTGCTCGGAAGCGCCCATTTATCAGCAAGGCAAACAAAGTCAAACGGCTTAAGTTTGCTAAGGAGCATGCTGATAAGCCCCTAGAGTTCTGGAAAACGGTTCTCTGGACGGACGAATCAAAATTCGAACTGTTCAACCGGAAGCGACGGGTTCGTGTGTGGTGTAGATCGGGTGAGGAGCTTCAGGAGCGCCACATACAAGGCACGGTGAAGCATGGAGGAGGAAATGTGATGGTCTGGGGGTGCTTTTCGTGGGGTGGAGTGGGAAGCCTGGTGAAAATCGACGGGATAATGACGGCAGATTCCTACATCGACATCCTGCGGGAAAATCTGGAAGTTTCGCTGATCCAGACGGGCCTTGAGGAGAAATTCGTATTCCAGCAGGACAACGATCCGAAGCATACTGCCAAGAAGACTAAGTCTTTCTTCCGGTCATGTCGAATTAAACCACTGGAATGGCCTCCACAAAGCCCGGACCTCAACCCCATCGAGAATTTGTGGGCGATTCTCGATGCCAGGGTTGACAAAACTGGTGTTACCAATAAAAATAACTATTTTGAAGCCCTGGAGCGCGCCTGGGAAGAACTAGATCCACAGCACCTGAAGAATCTAGTGGAGAGCATGCCGAAGCGCCTGCAGCTGGTCCTGAAGGCCAAAGGAGGACACATTAACTATTAGGCTGGTATTCTTTTACTTTATTTTATGTTTTCTGGAGTTAAAATGCAGTGGGCACTTTTTTTTGTCACTGTTCTTTTTTACACCCATTTTGATTTTTTTTTCTTCGAGTCAGTCTCTTCTTTTTATCTGGTATTCTATAAGTGAAACTTAAAAAGAATATAAAGAATAAGATATAAAAAATACTACAGTGTATTTACTTTAATTTGAACCAAATAAATGAGAGAAATTCAAAAAATGATGGGGTGGGCACTTTATTTTGCCTATCAGTGTATGTCTTCTCTTCCCGATACCAAGATGAGCTGATGCTCTACTTGTTCACGCCATTTTTACTCTTCCGATCCTCATGAGGGGAACACCGGAACAGACATTGAGGATGGTGTAACGGAATCGGTAACGGGCATTTGGTGTGACCTCGGGTGTGACATCAATCGCAACAGCCTTAAGCGAGGAATATTTGGTAGAACATTCTACTGGGGTGAGTGCTGGTCATTTTCAGGAATGAGAAGATGATCGGTTCCACTGAAAATTATAAACATGTTTAAAACAAACTCTTGAAATAAATTAATGCATGATTACTAGATTCTGAATCCATTCCGATGCCCGATATCCATTAAACTCCGCTATATTTGTCAGCAAATCCATCGAGAGCTTCTAGGAGGATCAGAACTGATGCGAACCGTCTTCGGAAGCAGCATTCTGGTTACGGTACTGCAAAAGTAAAACGAATGAAAACCATCATCGAACCATTTCCAAAACTTCTCACCTTGATGATTTTCTCCTGGATAGCTTGGATTGTTTCCCTCCATCTGCCGTGATAATTGCCTCCAATCCGTCGAAAATAAGCTAGCGGAGACATACCAGAAACGCGATTCCGGGGGCTGGGAGAAACCGGTGAAAGTAAAGTGTGGGAATCTGCTTGTTTTTAGTCGAAAGTGGCGGTAAACAGAAGTCCAGTGCTGCCAAAAACTTTGCTCTGAAGAAGTATTTTTGAAAGTACTACAACTTTTATTTTAAAAAAGTGCTCTTTTATAATTACAAGTCGAAATTGAAAGAAACACTTTTAAATCAAAAAATCAATTTTCATTTTGAATATTTTCGCAGTTAAAACTACGAATTTTGCAAAACTTTTATATTGAAATTGCATTATTTTTATAGCAACAATTTTTGTTCTTTGTGTGATACGGCGAGTAAATTGATAACCGCGATAGCAGCGACCGGTGTGGAGAAGAGTGATTAAACTAAAATGAGAGCACTGTGCGCTGTTAAAATAGTCGCGCAAATGACAACGACCGTTACGGTTGCTCTTAGTAGTGTGCGCCGATTAAATGTCAAAAAGCTCTATTCGGGGAACTGGTTTTCGGGTAGTACAATCAACCAAATTACTGCTATACACAGCAAAAAAATGTAATATCGATCAATATAATTTAAGCTGATGTATGAAATAATGATGTAATAGCAAAAAGCAGATACAATATTACATCAATGCATGTAATTTTGTTCGCAAAATCGATGTACATCGTACAACGTTATATTACACAATCGATGGATTGCGCTGGTTGCAGCATGTAATATTCAACAACTTTTTTTCTGTGTAGCATTGCCCTCGGTTTGTCCCATGCAGCACTGCCAGGTCACTAATCATATGATTTCGAAAGTCCAACACATTTTCCGGACCGCCCTGTTTTCCACTGACAGTTCGAAAACTGCGAAAAAATTTCTCGACCAAGCTGTCAAAACAAAGGAAGAAAAAAATAGGACATCGCTGCAAATGTTTAGCTGAAAATTTACCTTCGTTTTTAGTGCTTGAAAGTGGTGAGAAATAGCTGCCAGAACCGGGAAATTCCTGCTCCTCGACCACTAGGAGTCGAACCACAGCAGCCGCCCGAGCAGCAACCGATGGATGACGACCTCGCTGAGTACGCTCCGGACATTCCGGACAATGTTCTGGAGCTGATTTTCTCCTACCTAAAGCTGCAGGATTTGCGGAACAGCTCGCTGGTATGCAAGAGCTGGAATCGCTTCCTAAACGATGAGAATAATGAGGTTTGGAGGGCACAGTGCATGCAGAAACTATCGCCGGACGCTTTTAAAACGGATCTGCTCTCGGTAGTGCCGACATACAAAGCCAAGTTGAGAGCCTTCTTTCACGCCTGGAATCCGTACGACTGTAGTCGGCATGTGTACATCAAACCGAATGGATTTACTCTCCATAGGTGGGATAGTGGTAGCTTAGAAGATGGACGTCTTAACATGGGTTATTTTGTTTTTGTTTATTTGTTAGGAATCCAGTGGCACAGAGTACGGATGGTTCCCGCGGGAAGATTGGATTCCAACATGGGAGACATGCATGGGAAGTAAGGTGGGAAGGGCCCCTGGGGACGGTTGCTGTTGTAGGGATTGCCACGAAGGATGCAGCAATACAGTGTCATGGTTATTATGCTTTACTAGGTGAGGAGGGTTGAAGAAAACAATATTCTTGGGGGGATTTTGTAATTTTTTTTTTGTAAATTCTTCCAGGGGCCGACGATCAAAGCTGGGGCTGGAACTTGGTAGATAATTTACTGCTTCACAATGGCGATGCCCACGGGATCTATCCACTGCTCAACAACGCGCCCAAGTACAAGGTTGGTGAAAGGATCCGGGTTATTCTAGACTGCGACGATAATACGCTTTCTTTTGAGAAGAACTACGAATTTCTAGGAGTGGCTTTTACTGGTATTCAAAGCGTTGCTCTACTGATGTTCGAATTAGATTTATTGGGATATTGTTTGTTTTTTTAGATTTACCAGACAAAGTATTCTACCCGACGGTGGCAGCAGTATATGGAAACACGGAAATATCGATGGTTTACCTCGGCCCTCCGTTGGACGGGTAGGGAGCAGGTCGAATTATAAACCTACGCAAAACTAGTGACTGAAATCATCACGAAAGCCAGGAGCGATCGAAACACCCAAAAGTCCGCGTCCAATTTTCTAGGATTTAGCAAATGATACTCTTACAAGCCAGTAAGCACACTACACACTCATAAACACACACAACCACACATACACGGCGCCTGTTTAATCTAGTCCAGCAGAATGGTGTTTCGACTAATTCAACCGATTACTACTAATCGGTAAGTGTGGAAATGTCAGAGCAAAAGTCAGTAACCAGAAACCAAGTCAGAAACAATCTCTCTTTTACCTACGATGAAGATTATCATAGTTTTTCTTTTTGATATATAAAATGACGATGAAAGCGACAGGAGATTACTTAGTGTGTGGGAGGGAAGAGATTTTGTATAGCCATTTTAAGGACGATGCTTTGTTAGTTGCCATTTACGAGTACAAGCACCGATCATTCCATTCTATGTGTCTAGTTCGGCATTTTTATTTGTTAAGTTAGTATACTCATGGTTTCAATAGTCGATAGGATGATAGATATTGAGAGGCTCATTTAGATTATGTAACATATTTATTTATTTTATTTATTTATTTTATTTATTTATTTGAAAACGTTCAGTATTGATTTATAGTCAATGAATTTCAGTTCGCCAAAGAGTATCGGTTGCATTTATAGACTAAGTTCAATGTCTTAGCATTCCAAAATCGTGTTATTATGATATACAGTTATTATTGTAATATTATTTATGCAAATAAATGGAAATAAGGAAGCGTAAACCAGTAGTGTTATTTGAATCAGTTTCAGAGTGGAGATGGGGGGTTCATTGATAGGACTTAAAGATTCTGAAATTTTCAGAACTTCCCCGAACTTCAAGTATGTAAAGATTTTTAAGAATTTGTGAATTTTATTCGACTTTTCGATGCTCTCTGGATTTCCCTAAAAATCGTTCAACTTGCCTGAAGATATATGCGCAGAATATCTTCCCACAATTTTCTTGAGTTTAATAGAACTGTCTTGAAGTCCTTTGATCTTCCATGAAGAATGCTTACGGAATTTCCCTTAAAATCACAAACGTTGGTCAACATCTTTGGATTTTCCTGAAGTTTACAAAATTTACTAGATATTTTCGGAACTTCTCTTATGTTGTCGGCATTTTTTTTTCTAATATTCATGAATCTTCTCTGATGCTTCCGCTATTTTACGGGAATACTCGGAACTTCAATGTAGGATTCCCTAATTTTACTGGATTTTTCGGAACTTCGTTGAAGTACGCTGAACTTCTATGAAGTTTCCTTATCTTTTCTGAAGATTTAACTTCTTTGGAGATCTTTGAACTTCATTTAAATTATCTCGCCTTCTCTAAGGCTAATTTTCCTAAAATTCGCGGGTTCCAAGATTGTCGCTGAAAATCTAGAAATTTATTGAAATTCATGGAACTACCCTGAATTTATAGGAACCAGTTCTTCAAGATCTTTAAACTACCCTGATAGAGTAGACTTTTAAAAACAAACAAATCGGAGCTTCCCTGAAGGTATTGTATCTACGCTAAAGATCTGAACTTTCCTCTATTCATTCTTCAAAAGCACAAAAATTAACTAAAAAATAATTCTCTGGATTTCCCCAAAGTTTTTGAAACCTGCCTAATGTTCCGGAAATCATTCTGGAATTTATGGAACTTTTCTGAAGATCATGCAATTTTCCAGTTTTCGGAACATCTCTGAAATTATCGGGATTTTCCATAGTTCCTCGGAACTTTTTGCAAGTAATTAATGTAAATACTTTAAAGTTTTCTGATTTTCCCAGTACTCTAAACTTCTCTTAAGTTAGTAACATTAGCCCTTACATCCTCTAAACTTCTCAGGAGTTGTCTGAACTAACCTGAAGGTTTCAGAACTAGTAATTTCTTCTAAGTTTTCGAAATTGATCTGAAGTTTAGGGAACTTTCCTTGAACTGCTCCAGCATTCGCTAATTTCCTGATGCACTCTACGAACTGAAGTTATCGAAAACCTGTTGAGGTTCTCGGAACTACGTTAAAGTTCCTGAAATTTACTTGAAGTTAATGGAACTACCCTGAGGTTTTTTTAATGTCCCTTGATGCTGCTGAAGCTTTCCTGAAGTTCTCGCAATTCACCTGCCCAGAAATTAACTTCCTTCTTCCATTTTTTTAAAATTCTCATCTCACTTTCACGACCTGTAAAAAAACTGTCAAACCACGCCAAAAGTCTGGACTTTCCTCAAGTTCTCGAAACTTCCCTGAAGTTATCAGAACTGCCCTCTTGGATCTTTTTTTTTCAATGTTCCCACAATTTCTAAGTTCTGTCGACTTCTGAGAAGTAGTCTGGACTTCCTTTAAATTCCCTAAATATCCCTGAAGTTCTCCGAACTTCTTGAAAGCTCCTGTATCTTTTCTGAAGTTAATGAAACTACCTAGGTCAGTACTGCGCAAGTGTCTACACAGTTGTGGACAATAAGTGGCACCGGTGGTGTAGTGGTAAGCATCACTGCAAAGGGCTTGGGATCAATCCCAGTCGGCACCGCCGGGATTTTTTGAGGCATCTCTGATCACGCTTTCCTTCGGAAGGGAAGTAAAGCCGGTGATCCCCGGTCCATGATTTGATGAGTCGACATGTTGGGTCCAGGTGTGGGAACTGCCTCCCTGGTGTCGGAGCTCAGCACGGAAAACAAGATCGACGAACAACAAATCAAGGGTAAACAATCTACTAGATGTGTTCCGAAAAGGAAATCTGTCTGTTGATGAAAATTCTCGGAACTTCTTTCAATCCTCGAAGCTTCTGTCAGGTTCCGTCAATTTTCGTAAAGTTAATGGGACTGCTCTGAAGTTCTACAAGCTTCCCGGAAGTTTTTCGAACCTCGCATAAGTTTTCACAATTCTCCCGAAGATGTTCTTAAATTGCCCTGAAATCAATAGAATTGTAATAAAGGTCCCTCAAGTTCTTTGGACTTTCGTGAATTTCTTGGAACTTCTGGTTTCCGAAATTTTTCTGAAGTTCTCTAAACTTCTCTGGACTTCGCTGAAATATGGGAATCTCTCTGAAGGTGTCCACTATTTTTCTAAAATTTGTCCTAAACTTTTCTAAATTTTCCTGATATTCATGATTCTTTCTGATCTAAAATTCGCAGAACTCTCCAAATTTTACGAAACTTCCCAAAAGATCCCTGAATTTCCATGATAACTAACAAACGTCCAGCCATCCTGTGACACTTAGGAGAGGTCGTAGGGGCAGTTTCACAATTGCTGCAGGAACTTAATAACTTATTCCGCACACCCATGGCGAGAGTAAAAAAATCACTGTACAAGGATAATCAGGATACAAAAAACACTGTCTAATGTATCATTTAGGAGGTTTTTATCATTTTCATTGAAAAATAGAAGATTAAATTTTCAAAATATCAGTGCAAAAAAAAATCATTAATTTGCCTTGAAAAATATTCTGACAATGCACACAATTCCGCGCACTGATTTGAGCGATGTTTGTTATTCCGTTCATTATTGCTGTTGATTCCGCGGAATAATCAGTAATAGACTTCTCTGACGTTTGTGAATTGCACAAGTATTTTTTTTGCAGAATTTTGGGTAAATTCAAAGGATTTCTTGCACTAATACTTATAATTTACCCAAAGTTCTGCACTAATACTTGTGTATTTCACCAACGTCAGAGAAGTCTATTGGCGTTGACGAGAGCTCTGTAACTCTTTACTCCTATGGAGAAATCTCATATGTAACTGTCAGTCTATGTGTGAAACATGGCGGAGTTTTTCTTATTCTGCGTTGGAGTGCAAAACCCCATAAGGAACTGTCAAAATGTGTGTGAAGAAACGTCACTTCGGGACTGGTGTCAAGGCGAATAGACTTCTCTGACTTTTGTGAATTGTACATGTATTACTGCAGAACTTTGGGTAAATTCAAAGGTTTTCTTGCACTAATACTTATTATTTACCCCAAGTTCTGCACTAAACTCTTGTGCATTTCACAAACGTCAGAGAAGTCTACACGCTATTTCAAAACTACCCAAATTTGGGTAGAATCCACCCAGATCTGACAAAACTGAACCTACCAAAAAATGGGTAAACTATGTTGGGAGTGACAAGTTGACAAATGAACAAAGTTGATCAGATTCATGTCGATGTTGCCAATTTGTCAACTTGTCACTCCCAACATAGTTTACCCATTTTTGGGTAGGTTCAGTTTTGACCGATCTTGGTGGATTCTACCCTAATGTGGGTAGTTTTAAAATAGCGTGTATATAAATTTGCCAAAAGTTGTAAGGGGATTTCTGTCCGTATAGGTAGCATACATTTATGCGCTATCGTACGTTATTTTTGCGGGAAGTATAAATTAAGGTTGAAACTATAACACTTTTATAATGCTGGGTTTAGACTAGGCAAGTCAAATGATCAACTCAGTTGAATTCAATTGGCTTGCAAAGTTGAGCCTGGTTCAACTTTTTTCAGTTCAAGTGAGTTGATCAAGTCAGTTGAATGGCATGGTTTACACGTTCAATTCGCGTTCAAGTCAGTTGAATTCAACTGACTTGATCAATTGACTTGCCCTGTTTAAACCCAGCTTAAGGTTCCCATTATCTTTTTTTTTTTCATTTGGTTTGTTTTTTCCGTCGATCTTGTTTTCCGTGCTGAGCACCAATGCTACCGACGTTCCAGGAAGGCAGCTCCCACACCTGGACCCTACCTATCGACCCATCAACTCATGAACCGGGGACCAACGGCTTTACTTCCCATCCGAAGGAAGGCGTGATCAGAGATGTTATGCCTCAGAACATCCCGGCGGCGCCGACTGGGATTGAACCCAGGCCTGCTGGGGTGAGAGGTAATCACGTTTACCACTACACCACCGGCGCCGTTGTTCCCATTATCTGTAACTCCTGTTTTACTTACCTCATAAGGGATGATGCATATATTATATCACGCTTTAAGGGGGGAGGGGGGGGGGGTCTAAGATTTTGTGACAAACAATGCATTAGGTATAGGAAAAACGTCACGATAGGGGGGGGATAATTTTTTGCTCGATGTATCGTGACATAATTAATGCATGGGCCCTAACAGCAATTTTAACGTCGACGACTGTTAAGGAGCTACCAAACCGCACGACGCATATTGCCCCACCCTCAATTCTGAACTCTCGATTGATTTTAGAATATGTCCTATCTTCATTTGTCGATCGAATAATCGATTGACTTTATTCGCTTTCTACCGTAATTTGAGCGATGGATTTGCAATATTGATACACGCAATCAACAGTTCAAGGTTTGAGCTTTTGATTGCATGTGTCTATATTAAAAATCCATCGCTCAGATTGCGGTAGAAACAGAATAAAGTTAATCGATTCTTTGATCGAAAAATGGAGTTAGGACCTACTCTAAAATCAATCTAGAACTTTGTCTAGTTCATTAAAAATGCTAATTTGTGATCGAAAAACATTCCGTTTTCACACAGATCACGTAACCGTTCAACAAATCTTACAACGGAGTAATTCTCGTTGAAACCTGGCCGCCATGGACACA